TTGCAATAGGTTGAATATCAGGAAAATACTGGAAACAATTATAGAGAATCAACAATAGAGAATTGTGCAAATGAACTGAGGAACATCCACTCAATGGAATATTATGAAGCCTTGAAAAATGATGAAGCAATGTTTGTGATATATTAAGTAAAACAAAGTTATCTTTAAAAAATTGTAAAAAAATAAAAAAATGGCAGAAAAACCTATAGCTTGAAAGTTAAGAGACATATTAACTAATTGCAGTGTATTGTACTGTCTGAGCCACACACACCCACACCCAAAAGAAATCTGAGGAAATTTAAACAATGAATGATACCAGAAATTTTTAAAATTATTTTTAAATGTGGTATTATTTTTTCTATATTGAGAGATGAAACACAATGCTGTCAGAATTGTAAGACTATAGATGAAAAAAGATTAACAAAGTCTGAGGATTCATTATATTTTACTCTACTTCTGCATGTTTAAAATTATGGACTGTAAAAATCTTTTAAAGTTATAAAACAGTATGTATATGGTGATCCTATTCATTAGTTTATTTTAGATATCTTTTTTCTTATTCTTCTGTATGAAACATAGGGTTTTTTTTTTTAACATAAATACGTGGACCAAAAGGGACAACATGCTAACCTGACTAACTTTGATCTTTACTGAGCCTATTGTCTTTTCGCATCTAAGATAACATACCTGTGGAAGGTCAAGGTAACTTGTAACTTCCCTTTTTCTGGACCCCTCAGGGCACAACAAATGGCGCCAGGGCAGAGAACACAGGGCAGAGAACCTCATTGTTATTGTTATCTGTGAATTGTATTTATTTATTTATTTATTTATTTATTTATATCTGTTAACTGTTGACTGTCAACTATCCTACACCCACCTAAGAAAAAGAAGTATGTGTCTACCATTTTACTTTTTGTCCAGTTCTAGAGGTTTCCCCACTTTGATTTCTCACACCTCCCTAATCTATGACCAATGGAGTTCATGCAACCCACGTATGCCTCCTCTTTTGCTTGTAATGTATAAAACAAGGTGAAAAAATGCCATTCTCCAGAGCACTGTCTCAATACTTTGAGAATCTGCTTCTTGGCAATTGTTGACAGTTTGGCTCAAATAAACTCACAAAAATTCTTTACAGGTTTGAATGTTTCTTAGGTTAACAGACATAATATACTTTCTGTAATAAATAATTTAACAACTTGAATTAATTTGTGCTAGACATCAATCAACCCAAATTTACTCTTCTCCCATTATTTCTAACATACCACTGAACAGCAGTTCATAAACTGTTAAAAATAACAATGTAAAATGAAGTCACACATTGTCTCAAACTAAATTTGTTGATCTTCTATTAACCTAAGGCCCATACATCAGTTATAAAGTGACTTTTATCCAGCTGGCAAGGGAGTAATTCATGCCTGAAGCAGGCAAAGAGAGAGAAGCACAAATCTCTGCAAATCTCGGGCTTTCCAGTTTCAGTACAAAGCTAGATCTTCATAAACAAAACAACGAAACAAACTGAATCTCCTAGCAGGTAAGTGTAGAGAAACAAACAAAAGTCTACTTTATATAAATGATTTGGATAGTTTATACAACTTTAGGGACAATTTTATTTTATTTTTAAATATTTTTATTGATTTCAGAGAGGAAGGGAGGAGAGAGAGATGGAAACATCAATGATGAGAAAGAATCATTGATTGGCTGCCTCCTGCACATCCCCCCACTGGAGATCGAGCCCGAAACCCTGGCATGTGCCCTTGACTGGAATCGAACCCGGGACCCTTCCGTCAGCAGGCTGACGCTCTATCCACTGAGCCAAACCAGCTAGGGCTAGGGACAATTTTAATTAAATTAGTAAGAAAATGCAATTTTTCCAGCATCTATGCTTTTACTTTGTTAAGGCAGATGGATTTACCTTAGGGGGAAAGTAAGTCACCAAGACATTATATTATTAAACTCTTTAAGAGGAATTTTAGCCTTAAGTGGGCCTGCCAGAAAATGACTGTAAGCATATAAAATGAAATTAGGAGCCCTAACCGGTTTGGCTCAGTGGATAGAGCGTCAGCCTGGGGACTGAAGGGTCCCCAGTTCGATTCCGGTGGTCAAGGGCATGTACATTGGTTGCGGTCACATCCCCAGTTGGGGGTGTGCAGGAGGCAGCTGATCGATGTTTCTCTCTCATCGATGTTTCTAACTCTCTATCATTCTCCCTTCCTCTCTGTAAAAAAATCAATAAAATATATTTTTAAAAAAATAAAAAATGAAATTAGGATAAATTAAAGTACTTAAAATACCAGAACCTCTGTTGATGATGGGTGTGTTGTGCTATATAATCTGCTCCTGTTTAAAAACTCATCCATAATTCCTACGTGCAGGAAAGAGCAAAGTTTGGAAATTGGATTTTTGTAATTCTGCTTATGTCCTCCAAGCTCCAAATTATTTAACTGAGTAAAAAATCCTGCTTTGCTTCTAGTGTTGGTCTCCCTTTCTAGGCCCTTTCAACTACAGGCCTGAGTCCCATTTCCAGTAAACTTCTGTCCCACCCTTGCTCCTGAGCCCAAGTTCATCCTTTGTCTAGAATGAGTTCTCGCCCCACCAGAAGAGGTGTCCAGAATGGATCTTGCCGCCCTTTCCATAGCCAGATGGGTATGGGGAGCAGGAGGCTTCTCCCCTAATCACTTCTCCAAGAGTCCTCAGGACTTCTATTCTGGTTTCCGGATTGGTCAACACCCAGAAAGAAGCCCTGAGTCTCAGCCTTCTGCCTCCAGATGTGGCCCTTATCTATAATCATCTAGTAACCACAAGCCTGGCTCCCTACATCTGGGACCACACTGACCCCTGGTGGATGCTGTTCTTCCTGCCTGGAGATCCTTGCAGCCTGCCCACCCCTCACTTCACAAGTGTCACCAAAATATCTCTGTAGGTGGGGATTGAACTGTTATTTGCCACTCCTGTGAAAAACATAACTAGGACTGTGGAATATCCCTCAGCGGTGTGCCAACTGATATATTTTCAGGCTTTTTACAAGTTGGACTGTTAAACACAGCCATTATTCAAAGTTAAATGACATAAACTTACAATTGATTTATATTAAAAGATCTTAAGTACACAAACTCATCACTTCTTAATAATCTTGCTACATTTTACTATTGTCTATGCCCGTGAGTTATTTTCATCTATTGTTATCTGGATGGTGGAAATTACTCCACTTTTCAATCATGGTTGAATTGCAACCCATACGCTGGCTATAGATATGAATTCAGCAAAACTCAGTGAAAGCACTGTCAGAATCAGTTGGCTATATGAAATTTAAAAGAAAAAGTATCGTATATTTTATTATCATTTATATATTGTGTGCTACACACCCTTTATCATCAGTAAAATGTATAAATCGATATCATTTTTTTCCAGAGAGCTAATTGTTAAACATCTTGCAGCACACTACAGTATCCTTTCTTTCTTCTTTTTTAAAATATACTTTTATTGATTTCAGAGTGGAAGGGAGAGGGAGAGATAGAAATATCAATGACGAGAATTATTGATTGGCTGCCTCTTGCAGGCCCTATCCTGGCAATCGAGCCTGTAATACAGGCATGTCAGCCGAACCCTGACCTCCTGGTTCATAGGTCGATACTCAACCACTGAGCCACGGCGGCTGGGCTACAGTTTCCCTCCTTTCCACTCCATCCCCAGTTCTGTGGTCTCATTAAACTCTCCTGATTTTGGCCACCTCCCATTATTGACTTTGGAACAGTTGGAGGTTGGAAGCTCATACCCAACCCTCTCTTGATTTATCTTATCCAGGTGGAAGGACACCCATTAGCATAACATACCTGGCTTTTTCTGCTCCCTTTCACATTCCTCCCCCAGGCAGGTGAACTGACTTATCTGGTTGGTGAGTTTAGGAGAAAGAAGTCATGCATGGCCTAATTCAGCAGTTCTCAACCTGTGGGTCGCGACCCCTTTGGCGGTCGAACGACCCTTTCACAGGGGTCGCCTAAGACCATCCCGCATATCAGATATTTACATTACGATTCATAACAGTAGCAAAATTAGTCATGAAGTAGCAACGAAAATAATTTTATGGTTGGGGATCACAACATAAGGAACTGTATTTAAAGGGCCAGAAGGTTGAGAAACACTGGCCTAACTCCTGCCTCTGTTCCTTTTCCTAGGAGCTACCCACAGGGAGCATCTTTCCCCACATGGGAAGACTGCCCTGTTCTGGTGTTGCCTGAGGTTACTAAGTAAGTTGGTCAAATTTTGGAGTTCATGTTAAGAACTCCACTTGCTCCAAGATAGAAGCTACACTCTATGAAGTAGCATTATTAATATAAGGGCCATATATTGGCTTCCATCTGCTGACTCCTTTGTCTTATTACTCAGTTAGTTCAAATGGAGAAAAGGGGTGCTATTTACTGGGCCCCTTAGAAATTCCAAAAGGATCCTGTCACCAGCCTTTGTTCTTGAGGTCCCAGAATGCCTTGTGGCTGTGCCTCTATGTATTGGTATGCACAAGCCTTTTCTAAGTTAAGAAAACTTTAATGGCAAATTTATTTGCTTAGAATTCCTCTTATTGCCAATATGTGTGATAATAATGCTTACACAATTCAGCTTCTCTCATGTGCTTCTCTAACGTCTCTCAGACATTATACAAACATAGAACTTGAAAAACAAGCATTATTGACCCAGAGTGTTTTAGTAACTTTCCCAAGGTCACAAAGTGACCAAGCCAGTTGTCTGATTCCAAGGCCCTTGCTCTTTCTGTTACACTTCATCTCCTCCCCTTTTTCTTTCTCTTTCCTCCCACCCCATCCCCCCAGTCTTCCCTTCTCTCCTCTCTCTCCTCTTTCCAGTCCTGCCATGACCTTCCCACATTTCCACATTTTCTAGCCCTTTGACACATCAGAAAATAAAGACAGTATTTGTGACCTCAGAGATTGCAGTGTGTGTGTGTATGTGTGTGTGTGTAGGTATATATATAAAATTCTACAAAATCTTACCCCAATAGTTGGGCTCTCAAGAAACTTGGCAGCAGGCAGAAGGAAAATTGTGGCTCCTCAATAGTATGCGCCTCAGATTTCTCACAAGGAATGTTCAGCACCAACGTCCTGGGGGAAGAGGTCACAAAGGAATTAGTGTGCATCGAGAGAGGCCACAGGACTTCATCAAGCTGGGGTCTGTCTAGGTTTGAGCTGGGGGCTGGGCTCTATGTGCAAAATGCAGCCTTTCCTCAAATGGAGTGTTTGCTGTTACCTCTGGATCAAGGCTTCTTTTGCTGGTGTCAACAGTTGTGTAATACATTCAGGAAATGAGCAAACAGTTTAGAGGTTACTTGGGGAATGATTGAGGAGGGAATGAAAGAAAAAATATATAATTAATATATTGTTTATATATTATATATTTAATATACTTATATATGATTAATATCTATAGTAATATATTTATATATCATATGTAATGAATTCTCAATGGGGTAATATTGCCCCCAAAGGTGTGAAAATTGGTTCTTGGGAGAGAGCGTGAAAAAATATCACTCTTTTTACATATAAAGCACAGGTAGTACCTACATACATATAGTACCTAAACAAATACACAGTATGTGTGTGGTATTAAAATTTCATGGAGGGAATATTAAGGAAAAAATGTCTAAAAAGGTTCCTCAGGGGAGCAGTAATTTTTTTAAATGACTGAAAAACACTGATGTATAGAAGGAGCTTAGTGGAGTATGTGCCACATAATAGGGTTTCAATACCCAATGACATTTATAGTTGCTATTACAAATGGTTAGTTGTTATTACTGCCCTATAAACTAAAGAGAGAACCATGCCATGCCATCCTGGTTAGGGTAGAGAAGGGTGTACCGTGGCATGTTCCCAGATGAAGTTAGCTTATGGTGGATCCTGTAGGAGATACAAGTCAGAACTGCCCACAGTTTTAAAAAATAAGCAGATTCTTGCACATAGCTGGGATGACCTCTGGGACGCCCAGAGACACTTGTGCCTGGCGTATTAAAATCCAAAGAACACGTAAAGCATAGATGTGTGTGGGTAGTGCACAGGCTACCACAATGTCCACTTTAATCCTCTGGGGAAGGACATGCTCCCAAATTTACTTTCCTCCCCGCTGAGAAGTCCACCACCAAGTTTCCTGCACATGCCTGTGTTTCTCCTTAAAGAGGATCTGGCTTCTAGAAGGCACTCAGTAAATGAGTTAATATGGAGTAGAAGCAACTTCTCATGAAGCTGCATGTGCTCTGCTGGTTGAAAGAAAAATAATCCAATGATTACTTTAAAAATCTAAGTTTGGCCCTGGCTGGGTGGCTCAGTTGGTTGGAGCATCATCCGTACACCAAAAGGTTGCGGGTTCAGTTCCTGGTCACGGCACATACCTAGGTCCGGGCGTATACGGGAGACAACTGATCGATGTTTCTCTCACATTGATGTCTCTCTCTCTCTCTCTCTCTCTCTAAAATATCAGTAAAAACACATCCTTGGGTCAGGATTGAAAACATAATAATAAAGTCTAAGTTTGTGTTACTTTCAGCATACAAAGTGGTTTCATATATAGTATCTTATTACATCATCATCATAACCCTGTAAAGTCAGTATGACATCCCCACATAAAGGATAAAGAAGCTGAGGTGTGGCAAGTTCACTTAGTTATTGTTCTCTCTACCTACCTAGTAAGAAGTAGCAGAGCAAGCCTCCTTTCTATTATACTACACCCATACTTTTCTTTTCCCACAGAGGAGGAAGGCACATGAAATGGGAAAGCTATGGAGGAAAAGTTACATGCTGGGACATGCGGACTCCCCTTGTGAGGGATATGGTAATGTCTGAGAATTGACACAATCAATGCATGCAAGAAGGGGTGTTATTTTCATGGAGTATGAATCTAGCCTATGGCAGAGACTTCTGTGGAAGGTCAAAGCTATCAACTGCCAAGTTACAGGGAAGTGAAAACTGATCAAAATAGAAAACAGAGTATGGAAGTATCTTGAGATACTGTGAAATCTGGGGTATAAAAGACTTCGAAAACTAAAGAAATAAAGGACTTATTTATTTAAAACGCACAAATGTTGAGAATAAAATATGAAATGAAATATGAACTATTAGATACACATTGGTGTAATTTTTTTTTTTCACGTTGGTGTAATTTTTTTATTTCAGGGCCATAGCTTCAAATGTAGGAATGACAGATATCTGACTAAGAATGAAGAGCATTTTTCAAAGACTGAAAAGAATGTTTAGTCAGAGACCAACTCCTCTGGCCAAAAGGGCTGTAAATGGAAAACAGATGGGAAGGAGAAAAAAACACCTAGACAAAATTGAAATGGGTTTCCATGGATGACATTCAAGAAGGCTGGGAAGAATTTCAACAGGAGGGAGATACTGGGTAATTTAATGAGAAAACAATTGGAAAGGACATCAGGAAACAAACATACACAGCAGATATCCAGATATCATGCTCAGAACATGAGCAACAGAGTAACCTTGGGATTACAGCACAGGGTGACAAACAAGACCTCAGAGATACCACTGCGGGTTGGCGTGATGGAATGGATCCATGGGAACATACTGATAGAAGGGTGTGCTGTGCGCAAAAGACCTGTTGGGAGGAGATGGAGCAGCACTGTAGGCTGTGATAACAACAGAGTCAGAGGAATTCCTGAACACTTGGATGAAGATGAAAGGAGAGAGGAGAAGTAATGTTGTTAGGGAAGCAGAGCTGAGCCACTCGGAGGAAAGCCACACAATTGGCAGAACACACACAATGGAGATACCATTCTGGGTACTTCATTCAGATAAAAGCAGATTCTTTTACTTGCCTTCCTAACCATTTCATGTCCTATAAGGTAGAGGAAGGTATAAAAATAACTGTACTCTGATTCCAACCAATGGGAAAAAGTAATTTGTTGGAGTGAAAGGGATGAGCATCTTTCAAGGGAGGGCAAGGTTGAGATGGATAAAATGTATACAGAGGACTTTAGGAAGCTAGATTTCAAAATATTTTAAGAAAATATAGGCATAATTCCAGAAGTTTCCAAAAGGAGACAGTACCAGAAAGTGCTCAGAAACATGACTATGGGCAATTCCAATGAAAAGAAAAGAGGTGAGGAGATACTTAAAGAAGTTAGCACGATGGCATACAGCACTTTAAGCGAGGGTATAGGATGAACATTCAAAAAGATGGAGGTAAATGACAACTCTATGGTAGTGACATAGAACCATAAATAGTAGCAGTAATGTTAATATCCTGGAAGAATCAAAGCATGTAAAAATGTAAGGACCAGAAAAAGTGTTATGGGACCAAGGGAATTACAATAAATGAAAAGAAGGATGTACTATTTCTCAAATGATATCACATTCCTTTAGGCTCTGACAAGGACTGCAATTGTGGGGCTGAAACGCGAAATAGGTAAGACTATGTTGAAATCTACAATGTGAAAAGATGTTACCGATTCCTTTTGAAGTCTAAACTGGGATCCAAACTTTGTGGTCCAGTCTGTGAACCAACTAGCACACATTTGGCTATCTTCAAACTTTCTATTTTAAACACTTTGGGTCCTGGGGCTCTTCTTAGTTAATATATAAAAGCTCTGCAAAATAGAGGCAAGCATGTATTGCAAAACCACAAATAATAAGCATGGGTCCATGAAAAAGGAGCCCTCACTTTCCATTCAATAGATATTTGGGTTGTTTCTACCTTTTGACTAAGGTGAGTTATGCTAATGTGAACATGGGTGTGCAAATATCTGTTTGAATCTGCTTTGAATCCTTTTGGATATAAAACCATAGTGGAATTCCTGGATCAAATGGTATTTTCATGCTTAATATTTTTTGAAGAACAGTCATGATGGCTGCACCGTTTACATTCCTACCAGCACTGCACAACGGTTGCAATTTCTCTGCATCCTAGTAACCTCTTCAGGGCAAAGATTCAGAGATTCATTGACACACGTAGGAACTGGAATATAATCGCTTCCCAATAAATATGGAGAATAAATTATAATACACCAATTAACAAATAAACATGCTATCAACAAAAAGTCAGCTATGATTTTTAGTTCAAAAGGCAAGCCTGGTATGCTTGAAATAAATGCATTAAAATCAGCTTTAGCTAGAAATGAAAAACCTGTTGAATGAGAAAAAGAATGAATTGGGGAAAAAACAGAACAAGAAAAATAATCACAAAACTATTTGAACACATTGAACTTTAGCAAAAGATATATTTCACAATTTATATTGCTAACTATTTTTCTACTCTTGCAAAACTAATGAGAAAATCAGGTCAAATGAGAAAAAGGAATGTTGGGTTGTGTAAAGGATACTGTTTAAACATAGAACTTGTGAATGTCAGGCCTTTGCCCCACTGGCTGGTTGACTGCACCATAAAACCAACTTTTCAAATCATAATAGCTAAGTAGAGAAAAATACTTTTAGGGTTATCTAAGTGGTATGTATGACAGTTTAAATTCTAGATATTAAGAACCACCTGTGTGGCTAAATGACTTTTGAAAAGGTTGTAAAAAATTGTAAACTCACCAGCAAACTATGAGAACATCATTCCCATACACTCCATGAGGACAGAAGTTCTTGCACTCAGGACACTTCCAAACCTTGCCCTATGTATTTCATCTGGCTGTTCAGCTGTATCTTGTATCATATCCTTTATTATATTAGATTATAGAGGCCCAGTGCATGAATTCATGCACAGGTGGTGGGGGGGGGGGGTGTCCAGCTGGCCTGCTCCCTATGGGGTGGAGGGGCCAATCGGGGGTGGGACCAACTGGGGGGAGGGGGTGAGGGCAGCTGGTGGGCCCTGCCCCCTGGTCGGCCTCCCAGTCGAATTCCTGGCCAAGGGGACAATTTGCATATTAGCCTTTTATTATATAGGAGGATAAACTGGTCAATGTGTTTCCCCAAGTTCTAGCAAATGATCAAACTCAAGAAGGAAGTTGTAGGAACTCTAGTTTATAGCCAGTCAGCTGAAGTACTGGTAACAAGCTGGCATTTGCAACTGGCATCTGAAGTGGGGGCAGTCTTGTGGGACTGAGCCCTTAGCTTGTGGGATCGGATGCTATCTCAAAGGTAGAAAGTGTCAGACTTTAGTTGAACTGTAGGGCATCTAGTTGATGTCTGTAGATAATGGAAGAATGCTCAGTGTAGGGGGGGAAATCCCACACATTTGGTGACTGAACGTATTCAGAGTAATAACTGAGTAGTGAGTATAACAGGAGATACAATAGAGGTTCTCCTATCCCACTGATGAGGAACCGGAAGCCCATTCACCCATTCCACCAACATTTGTGTGTCTATGTGCCAGGCGCGTTTCTATATCCCTTAACAAAACAAGATCCTTGTCTTCCTGCGGTTTCAGTCTGGGGTTTAGAAAAGGGAGGTGAGGGGGGCAAAGGGGGGATATGGACACATATATAATACCTTAATCAATTAAAAAAAAAAGGGGGAGGTGAAAAACATACGATGATAAATGCTACAGGGGGAAAAAAACTGAGCAGGTTCATGGAGCTAGGCAAGTTGCGGCTTTAGGTCGGGTAGCTAAGGTAGATCTCACCGAGAAGGTGACACGTGAGCAGAGATTCAAAGGAGGCGAGAGAGCGAGCCACCCAGGTGTCTGGGGAGAGAGGACTCGGGGCGGGAACAGCGGGTGCAAAGGCAGCCGGAAGCAGGTGCTGAACATCCACCATCACCACCATCCAGAGCTAGCGGGAGAGAGACGTGGTGAGAGGCAGGTGCTCAGGGCCGAGTTTTAACAACTTTTTTACTCTGGGTGAGATGAGGAACCACTGGACAGTTCTGCCCAAAGGAGTGAAAGAGCTTGACCTCCCGTTACCGGCCCTTTTCTTTAGGGTCCACACAGGCTGTCTGGCGCTGGTCTGTGCTCTCAAGATTAAAGCACCAGTCACCCCCACAAGGGCTCAGCCACACAGCAAGCGCCGGGCTCATTTCCGTGGTAACCACGATCCTTTCACTTAAGCCCGGCCCCGACCTACCGCCCTCTAGTTCCCCAGCTGCAGAGCTTGGAATCCACCGAGTCGGGTCTCCACGTTGCGCTCCCGGTTACGCCAACGGGTTGCGCAATTCGAGCCGCCGGGCGGAGCCTGGACGTAGGCGGAGCGGCGGCGAGCGGGAGAACGCCCAGGTTGCAGACGCTACGAGGCAGCCCTAAAGCCCACGACACACAGGCACTGCGCATGCGTACGCCGCGGGCGTCCCGCAGCCGCATTAGCCCCGCCCCAATTCCAGGGCGGAGTTCTTAGCTGCGCCTGCGCACAGCCTCGCCGCAACCTACGCCTGCGCGCTGCGCCAGCCCGGCCCCATCCCCCAGGTTTTTCGGGTGGGGGAGGGGGCACTACTCGGCGAGTCACGATGATGGCGGCCACCAGCCTGTGGTGAGCTAGCGGATTCTCTGCTTGTCTCGAAGCGCTTCTCGAGCTTCCTGCACACTCAGGGGCTGGTGCTGAGGACGCTAGGCGGCCCGATCTCGCGGGAAAGGCCGCAGTCGCGGAGGCAGCCGCGCGGCCCGAGGCCACGGCGGGGGGAGAGGCCGCCCCGCTGGGCGAATGTGACAAATCCCCACCCCCACCGTCTTCCTTCCGAGCGCACGAGGAGCGCGGGCGACCCCAGGGCCACGCCAGGCCACAGACCCCGCCCAGCGGCCAGCACCTGGAGCAGGCCCGGCAGCGGAGCTGCGCGGCGGCACCATGCAGGTCACCCTGAAGACTCTCCAGCAGCAGACCTTTAAGATCGACATCGACCCCGAGGAGACGGTGCGAGCGGAGGGGAGCGCGGGGCCGGGACGGGCGCGCTGGGGCCGCGGGGAGCACGAGGGGTGCGCCGGGCCTGGGCGGGGGGCGGCGCGGCAGGGCGTGGGGTCCCCGCCTCAGCTCCGAGCCGGGCTTGGCGGCGCGCCCGAGCGGGGACAACTCCCGGTGCACCGGGAAAGCTCGGTGTGCGTGGGCCCCGGGCCCCGGGCCCCAGGCGCTGGATGAGGCCTGAGGGCTCCGGGCGCTGGCTGGGCCCGGGGTCCCAGCGTCCCGGCCCTGGTGGCGTGCGGCCGCCCCGACCCCTCGGAGTTGGCCTCGGGCTTTGTGGCAGGAGTAAGAGGAAGCAGTGGCCGGGCGCCGAGGGCCTGGTGGCCAATGGCGTGGAGCACGCGCGCGCGGGGTGCAGGAGGCCTTGGCCTAGGAGTCCTTAGTGGAGATTGGGTGGGTAGGTGGGGCCACGGCTTCCGTGGCGGTGTCGCCGGGCCCCCCCGGTGTGGGTGCTGGGGTTTGGGGGGGAGGCAGATGTAGGCGTCGCCACTGCCACTGCGTGGACCTGGTTAGGCAGCTCTTGGGAGATGGTCACCGGAGATAATGAGCTTTTTAAAAAGGGGGTGTCAGGTTCCATCTGCCTCAGGGTGAGGGTGGGGGGTGGAGAAAGTGAATTCTGTGCCCTCGTCCCCCCAGAATTGGTAACTTCTTTATGTGCCTATATATCTTGAACCCTTTGGCTGCAGTTCTCCCGCCACCGAATCCGCACCCATAGGTGCACTCTGAGGCCTCTGGTGGTGAAGATTTTTGCTTTAGAGCCCTTCAAACCCAGGCTCAAGCTCACGTCCAAATTAACGGGTCCTCGGAATTGCAGAACCCTGCATCCTCCCTCACCCCCAATAATAGCACTTTGTGGGAGAGAAAAAATAAAAACTTGGAATCCCTTCTGCAGTTAATTAAACCTTTGAACACTTCAGAAGTCCACATGGTAAATTACCGTGCGAGCTTGTGTCTGTGACTGCAAAAGGAGCCACTGTTGAAAGCAGAACAACTTTACACCAAGAATCTAATAATGCCATAATCTTACATTTACTGCTTATGTTTTGGAATTTTCATTCACTACACCCGTTGAGGTTGTCATAATGCTAAATTTAAACCAGCAACTTTCTGTCCATCCATATTTTAAAAAGTAGTTAATTCTGTTCTTGGAGACCAGGGGCCATTAAGTAGATATGGGTTTCATTGTGACTTTGTACTAGTTATGTACCTGCTTTGCAGAGATGTGAAGATTAAATAGTATTTAAGTTGGTGGTCACTAAATGGAATTGATTTTTAATAGGTGGCTACCTTTGAGTGAGGTTTGAGTAGTGTATGTTTATCTGTCTCATGTAATCTAAAGTTTTCTACATCTTTAGTCATTTAAGAAACATTATTTAAAAGGCATAGTTCCCAACCTTTTTGGAATTGTTTTACAAAATGATTTTTTTCAAAGTATGTGTAGAAGTATGCTGTGATTAAACTTTTAAAGGTGTAGAAGATATCAGTTATAGGTGAGAAACTTCAGTGTCCTCAGAGGTAATTGACAATACCCTGTGGATTGATATTACTAATAGAAACCAGATTCTTGAATATTCCTTTACTGCTTAGTGTGTAGTAATAAGTTAGAGGATGCAAGTTAAAGTGCATCTGTCTTTTTAATGTTTTCAGGTAAAACTTTTCATTAAATGTCTTTGATTTTGGTTCTTTGTAGTACTAAATGTTGGTGCTGCAGGAATTTGACCAGCTTATAATATTCAAAATTAATTCCAGAATTATTGAAACAAAAGAGTTTTTTAATATCTGTGAGTTTATTTAAGTTATTCAATGACTTTCTACAGCTCTACTGAAATATTTATATTTTATAAGATTTGTATAGCTCTTTGGTCACTTTGTACATAATCTTTGAGCCAATATTGTATTTGTATAGATTTTTAACTATTTGCTATTTTCCAGTTTATTTCCAAGGCAATGCATTAGTTATATGAATTATAAAACTTCTAGAAGTTTATATTTTCAGAAAGCTCATGGTTACAAAGTAGTTTCTCTACCTTTTTTTTTTTTCCCTACTTGTAGAAATGTAAAAACTAACACTTAGTCTGGGGCAAGAAATGAAAACATTTAACCTGCTATATGGGACATTTTTTTTTTTTAAATATATTTTATTGATTTTTTACAGAGAGGAAGGGAGAGAGATAGAGAGAGAGAAACATCGATCACCTGCCTCCCGCACACCTCCTACTGGGGATGTGCCCGCAACCCAGGTACATGCCCTTGACCGGAATCGAACCTGGGACCTTTCAGTCCGCAGGCCGACGCTCTATCCACTGAGCCAAACCGGTTTCGGCGGGACATTTTAATTAAAGTTAATTGTAGATTTTCATTTAATGACTTTAAATTTCTTAAATGTTTTAAAAATAGAACATTTTATCTTTAGTGGTTTTTTAGTTAATATTTTCAAAACAGAATTTGAATGTAGAATTACAGTAAGAAAAGAAAATAGTGAAGACCATATGAGTATAGATCAGGGATGGAGACCTTTTTTCTGCCAAGGGCCATTTAGATATTTATAACAGCATTCAGAGGCAATACAAAATTATCAACTTAAAAATGAGCCCGCTATATTTGGTCAAACATTTAATTAACTCACCCCTACTGCCTAGGCAGGGCCAGACCAAATTATTTCTCTAGCCTTATAGGGCCACCACCCCTGAGAAAACTAGGTAACCAAGGATATTAGAGATAGTATTCTACATATACATATATATGTGTATATATATGAAAAGCCAGTGGCTAGAATGCTGTAACGACTGGAACGACCGGTCACCCACTGCTGCCAGCGAACCGCCCAATCCAGGGGTGGCGCCCGCGACCAACCTCCTGCAGCTCCTCCTCTCGGCCACCCTGCCCCTGATCAGCCTTTCCCACCCTGATCGAGGGAGGGGCTGCCCGCCAACCAACCAACTCCCCCCCCCCTTCTCCCTCCCCAGGCTGACACCACCCCTGATCGCCCCTCACCCCAATAGAGGCATGGGCCTCCGGCCAACCTGCGGCCCCTCCCCCCAGCCAGCTCCACCCCCAACTGGCCCCCCCACTCCAATCAGGGACAGGGCCGGTCGCCCAACCCCTCATGGCTTCTCCCCCAGGCCACTGGCCCCCAATCTGTCCGTCCCCCCCCCCCCCCCCACACACACACACACACACCGCATTTGGGGCTGGGCCTACTGCCTTCGGCCCCTCTCCATAGCCATGCGGCTCCCATCTGTCTATTGGGGCTGTGCAGGACCCACTTGTGCACTGGGCCTCTAGTATAAAATAAGGATGAAAATGGATTATAATGAGACTTGCAGGGAGACCCACGTAAAATGAGCAGATTTTGGTCTCTGAGACCTATTTTGGCTACTCAAAGGTTTGTCCTTGTTTAATTTTTTATTAGAATGAATTGAGGAAATTAAGTAACTTGAAGTTGCCAGTAGATAAACTTGTGGGGGATGAGCAGGAACAAAAATGAGTGAAAGAAAGAATTGAGAGATAAAAATAATTTTGGGAGTGATTCATTTGTAGAACAAATAATTGTTGAGTGAGCTTTGACTGGAGGGACTGGACGAGTACAGGGACTTTTATACTTTTAGGACCTGGTTTGGGTCTTCTGGAAACCTAATTGACCTAGTCTTGGCTTAGGACTGTAAAAGGAAAGGCAAGAGGATTTGGTTCTGCCCCCTGTATGCGCCCCACTGGGAATTGAGCCCACAACCCAGGCATATGCCCTGACCAGGAATCGAAACCATGACTTCCTGGTTCACAGGTTGATGCTCAACCACTGAGCCATGCTGGTCGTGCTGACAAAACACTAGCCATTTGAACCATTGCAAAAGTCTTTTTATTACAAAAGTAATGCATCTCCTCTTATAAAATATTCAAACAATATAGAAACAAAATGAAGAGGTGGGATGGAGAACCCATTGCTGAAAGAGCAGTCTTCATTGTGTGGAGTTCTATTTTAAATACATGATTTCCTGTAAAAAAAGAAAAGGATAAATTTAAGCTATATAATAAAGCATTTTGAGATATATAGTAGACTGATACTTACACAAAATTCTTAAAAATTCTGAAGGTTGGTGGTGTGATGGATATTTAGAGGGAAATGGAATGCACAAAGATTTTTTAAGCTCAGATCCATAGTCACTTAATTTTTTTGGTTTGCCATTACTTAAACCCAATAGGGAGGGAACAGGTAGATTAAAGAAAAGTTGATATTCTTCTACTGCAGTGCAGATCTTACTGTATCAATGAAAATGACAAGAAAGAATATGTGGTATACAGATTTAATCCTTCAGTCTGCTAACCCCTGCCACTCTGTGTTTTCAATAACTAGACAAAAAATAACAACCCAGCTGACATGAGACTTTAAATGCACAAGCTGAAATGTAATTATATTATTATATAAGTGCCGTAAAGCTGGGCATATACATTGAAAGTTTTTTGTTATTAATCCTCACCTGAGGATATTTTTTCCACTGATTTTTAGAGAGTGGAAGGGAGGGGGAGAGACAGAGAAACATTGATGTGAGAGAGACACATCAATTGGTTCCCTCCAACACGCCCCCTGGAGGGAGGGGGGGGTGGCGATTGAGCCTGCAACCGAGGTACCTGCCCTTTAACCGGAATCGAACTGGGACCCTTCAGTCGGTGGGCCAGTGCTCAATGCCAAACCAGCTAGGGCTACATTGAAAGTTTAAGATTTCTCTATAAGCTGATCCATTATTTTATTTTTTAAAATTTATTTTTATTGATTTGAGAGAGGAGGGAAGAGAGGGAGAGAGATAGAAACATCAATGATGAGAATCATTGATCAGCTGCCTCCTGCACACCCCCTACTAGGGATCAAGCCCACAACCTGGGATGTGCCCTTGACTGGAATCAAACCCAGGACCCTTCAGTCCGCAGGCGGACACTCTATCCACTGAGCCAAACCAGTT